CAGTTAAAAAAAAAAAAGAGGATTTTAAAGTTGAGAAAACAAATCCGTAAGCAGAGGAGCCTCATGTGAAATCCATTAGCAAGAGAGCCTCATGTAGATGTTTGCATTTTTTTAAAACACCATCTGTGTCTCGAAGGGTCCCCAGAGTTTAAGGCGATTTTGAATCGGACGGTAACTGCCTACTTCCTCTCACAAATGAGTCTTGAGAGCTCATTCGGAGGGGGTTAGCAGGGCAGTGCAGTTCCTGGTTAGTTCACGGCCAAATAGGGTCTTCTCATATCTAAAAGGTCACGTCTCCGGTGGAAGGCACAGCTCTGTGAGGGATGGTGAGGAGGGAAGGCACACATCCTAGCCAGGCAAATCCAGTCAAATTAACGCAGTTTCAGCGGTATGGCAGCTGCGCAGCTGGCTTGCATCCCCATTTTGGGGGCAGGGGTGGGCATCAGGGAGGCTGAACACTATAGACTCCGAGGGGGCTGGCCACAGTCACCCTCTCAGACCAAGAGCTCCAGTGTCCTTTCTGGAAACAAGACCCTTTCAGTGCTATTTTATGTACAGAAAGAGTGATTATTTGAGGCCTGAATACAGAAACTGATACGACAGACCAAATAAAAGCTTAAAAAAAATGAAGACTTTGTTAATTTTATGTTTAAGAGTGTAAGGCAGTTGCACTGTATTGTCATTTAAAGTTTTTTTTAATGTTATTTTTTTTCCTGATAGTCCAAAATGACCTACTAAAAACCAATTCATAATTTATCTCCAAATATATTCACAAAAATGTGAACAGAGATGTATGTACAAGGATGTTAAGGGAGGCATTATTTTTAATACCAGGGAAATGGAACAAAACCGTGTATTCATTAATAGCAAACTGATGAAATCAGCCATGAAGCAGCCACACCACAGAATACCCTGCAATAGCCAAAAGGAATGACATAATCCTATATTTAGTGCATGAAAGATACCTACAACATACTATGTTAAAAGCAAACTCCACACATAAGTGGTAGAACAGTATGTGCCATGATTCCATTTGGGAAAATAATTCTCTCTGCACATAAAGTACAAAGGGCTGTATGTACACAGGAAAGGTCTGGAAGGACATTCACGGAGCTAAACAGTGGCTGTCTCTGGAGGAAGGAGTAGGGTACGCTTGGAGAAGAGGGAGACTTTTAGTACAAGCATTTCCACCCTGTTAAATCTTTTTTTACAAGTATGGATTACTTTTTCAATTGGTCCTCAGGTGACCACACTGGATTAACATTACTACAACTGATCCATGCATGGCCCACTTTACACCAAGTCAGTTAACCACATATTTTTAATAAGAAAGCACTCTTGAACCCACAACCCAAAATAAAAGTTAGAACCTTGCCAACAACCTAGATCTAACTATCTGATCCTCCCTGCCATCCATCGGCCCAAATCCCACATTCATGTTGACTTGTGTAATTAATAAATAAAACATGACAATAAATATGTGCAGTTAGTTTGTTTTCCTTTTAAATTCACTGCTTGTCAGTCAAACAGAAATACCACAAATGTAATTCTAAGCTTTTCTTTGCACATAGGGGAACCCATCTGCCATTTTTCCAGTGACGCAGTATTAATCACCCTGGTGGCCATAATGGGTATTGGCACTAACTTCCCACCAGGAAACTCCCCACGCCAAGAGAGAAACTTTTTGTTAGAGATCATTTCCCTAAAAGCAAATAAATCAGTGGCTAACTCAAATCTGTCCTCACTCTGTAATTGAAAAAATTTCTAGTTGATCAGAGCAGGCTTTCCCTGTAGGTCAAATGTAGGCATTTAGTGATACCGGGTGATGATCTCTTTAATACACACGGTTTCTTATCCTCCTGCCAAATGAAGGAAGCTTTAATTACTACACTTTAAGAGGCAATGCATGATAGAAGAGTGCCAGTGGGCAAAGAGAGTATGAAATTAAGTCCACCTCTATAATATAATCTAAATTACTTGAAATCTTCCTTCTAGGTTGTCTTAGAGTGCCAATTTGTATGCCCTTTGATTCTACGAATTCTGAACCTCCATTTAAATTTAAATCCAACACTCCGCATTTGGGAAATACACTGCACTGTTATGTATGCTTTTCTAGTTTGAGTGAATGCCATAATTAATAAGGAAATGCTTTCCCAAGTATGATGTTTTTTATTTTTAAAAAAATTTTTTTTCAACGTTTTATTTATTTTTGGGACAGAGAGAGACAGAGCATGAACGGGGGAGGGGCAGAGAGAGAGGGAGACACAGAATCGGAAACAGGCTCCAGGCTCTGAGCCATCAGCCCAGAGCCTGACGCGGGGCTCGAACTCACGGACCGCGAGATGGTGACCTGGCTGAAGTCGGACGCTTAACCGACTGCGCCACCCAGGCGCCCCATGATGTTTTTTAAAGTAATAGCTTGTCAACTCTTTGCAAGCAGGCCTGACCTACTCTAGTATCACGTACCATTTTACAAAAAGAAAATTCTCAAACTTAAGTCATGGAAGTCAGTAGTATCAGGAAGTTTCCTCTGGGTTTCCTAATATCTGCTTCTTCCAAATAAAAACTATAATTAAATGGATTCTCAGTTAATTAACACTAGCAGATAATCCAAAATGGCAAAGAAGCCAGAACCACTGGTATTTACAGCATATTTTTACACTTGAGTAAGACAGCATCTCTTGTTCCTGACTCGACTGCATGGAGCCTATCAAGGAGGACTGGCTCCCCTAGGGCCCCTCTCTGCCTTCACGTTCAACTCCCCCCCCACTCCCCAGCTGGTGCTGGATCCCACCATGGATAGAGCGCTACTGCTCTCGCTAAAAATGTTCTGTAGCTTCTAAGGCAAGAAAGAACTAAAAGTATTTTGACTTTCCTGCTGCTGGGCTGCAGACTCTACACAGAGAGGGTATATACTATCAAAAGGCCTTGTGCCTCCCAAGTTCAACTGTATCAGCGAGAAATGCAGCCAAGGTACCTGCAAGTAATAAAAACCAAACCTCGCCTTAGATGTGCTTGTAAGCTGGGGGGAGGTGCCTAGAGCGATGGCGCAGCACCACTTACTCTTCCTTCCGGAGCAGTTCCTCCTCAGACTCGGTCAGGCGCTGCCTAAGCGCTGCAATCATCTCCACGGCCACATCCACCTGTCGGTTCAGGGCCCGCTCCCGCCTCTGCACCTCCTGCTTTTTCTGCGTCAGCTGCACAAAGGCTGCCCGAACTTCCAGCAGTTCGGCAGTTTTCTGGGCCAACTCTTTGGTGAGTTTATCGATTCTCTTCTCGATGGTCCTGTCCACGGCCTCGACCATCCGGCTGAATTTTTCTCTGACGTGAGCCTCGAAAGCAGCCTTGGTGTCCGAGGTGGGCAGGCCGGGACTGGCCCGTGGCCCCTCCAGTGAGTCCGCATGCAGGTCCACCGTGGTGTAGGTCTGCACGTAGGACACTGGCCGCTCTGCCACCACCTCGAATGGCTTCCTGTCCTTGGAGTGTTCGTGGGAAATGCTATACAAGTTAACATAGCTCGGTTTCTGCTTCACCACGTTGCCAGTGCTCTGCAGCTTTCCCTGTTTCAGGGGTTCTGCGGAAGCGACTAGGTCGGTGTCTTTGAGGGAGGGAAAGAGGCTGCATTTTGTCAAGAGGGTTCTTTCCTGGTAGCTGTGACTGAATTCCAGATGGGCCCTCAGCGAAGACAGGCTTCTAAATCTGGTATGGTCTCCACACCTCGGACAGCGGAATGGCAGGCACACAGCAACATTCTCAAAGGACTCCTGCCAGGGGTATCTGCTTTCCTCAAAAGCCTTCTGTTGCATTACTCTTCAAGTCCTGGGCAGGGCCAAATGAAACAGGTAGTTTACATGTCTGTTAAAAAAATGCCTACTGAAATGCCTGTTGCCACCCATGTCCATGAGGGCAGGAACTTTTGGCTTCAAATTACTTTTGCATATAGTATCTTCTATTAAAATAAAAACCTGTGATCCGTGGGCCAAATCCAGCCACATTCACTCATTTCTGTATTGTCTAATGCTGCTTTTGCACTAAAGACAAAGGTGAGTGAGGCGTTGAGACAGAGACTATTTTGGTAAAGCCAAAATTACTACTTGACCTTTACAAAAAAAGTTTGCCAACCCCACCCAGGATTAAAAAAAAAAAAAAAAGGAAAAAAAAGGTGGGTAACATTCTCTTTTAGCAGATATGAAAACTGAAGCAAAGAGGTAAAGTAATTAATTCAAAGCCAGATGGAAAATGACAGATCCAGAAGTGGAATTCAAGTTTCCTGCCCTCCTGAATTTAGTACCGCTAACTGCAAACCTGTGCCCTATTTTATGGATACAATCCTGATAAGCATGAATTCCAAACGTGAGGAAAACTCACATGAGTTGTCAACATTTGTCCTGAGAATGCAAGTTCAGCGATCTTTCTTCAAGCATAGGAAAAATATCACTCAAGCTAGACGTAGTGGCACTAAGCACACAATGAGCTGGAAATTTTTCAACCTGAGATTTCGCCTTTAGTTATTGTTGTGATGACATAAACCAAAATGTTATCATTGTCCCCCATATTCCAGATTTACTGACATTTGGGAACTCAAGATATCAGCTATGTTTTGATCCAAGTGGGGCCATGGCCGTGGCCAAGCCTTTATAAAAATACCATGCGCTCAATGGATTTTTCTCCGTGATCCTGTTTTCATAGGATAACCTCTAGAGATGACCAATGTTTGAACCATGCAGGTATCAGCGTAACTCTTTAGTGAGTTCTTGTTTCGTTGAAGGAATTTATTATCTTAGCCCTAGCAACAGATGACTGGTAGCAACCCTACTCTGCAAACAGGGCACACATAATTCCCTTCAGGAGTGGTTTCTGCTTAAATGTAACAAGCATTGGGCCCCCAAGAGAGGAAGCTCAGCTAAGGGTCAACACTGTAAAGTGTTGTTATTGGGCCCTCAACCTCCTCAAAAGCAGAGGCGCAAATGGTCCCCAGCCAGCTAGGCAAAGCCTCCAGGTTAATAAGCCTCTGGCCCCCTAGAGAGGGGAACCTCTTTCTGTGCTACACCTGGCTGTTTAACGACCAGTTTTGTGGACACAGGATACACAGCCTGGCCCAAAAGGCCCAGGAAAGGGAAGTCTGGATTCCCCTGGGAAAGGGGTGGCATCCCTGAATGGGGAACCGGGTTATCACGCGCTCTGGGAGTACTCCTGCTTTCAGGGGCCCAGCGGGAACCCCAGTCCACAGGGTTGGCCGAAAAGCCCCAATTTCCTCTGCCTGAGCCGGGCAGCTGGCAAAGGCGCTGCACGGAGGGTCCCGGCTCCCCCCGCCCCCGCTCCGCCGCGGGCCGGCCCCAGGCGCCAGAGTGGATACGTGCGCGCACGAGTTTCCGCAAGTGGGGGCCGCGCGCCCAACTCCCGGCAGCGTGGAGGCGACAGGCCCCCTCCCCAGCCCGGGACGGTTCCGCCGGCCCCCTCCGCCGCGCCCCGCGGGCCGGGCCGCAGGCGCAGAAGCCCAGCTGCGGCCACTTACCCGACTTGTTGCTGCAGCTGCAGCCGCTGCTGCTGCCGCCGCGGCCGGTGCTGCTGCTGCGGGAGCGAAGCGGTTTTC